ACATGATTTTTTAAAAATTTTGTTCCAGTTAGTGCTGGAGTCATTGTAGTATAAAAACTTTTATTCTTCTTTCTGATTCAAAATAATTCCAGTTAATGTTAGTTTTTATGCTACAATGCCACAAAAGTTTCTTTACATCCTTTACACTCCAGATGTGCAGACACCTTCAGTGCTTTAGGAAGTTGCCTGTTTCTCTCCAGTTTTGTGATTTAGTGAAGCATCTTGGCATAAGACTCTCTCTGCTTTACTTCTTCTAAACAATTTAACACATTTAAGTGGCCTTGAACATGATCACTTCTACTGCACAGCTGGGCTACAGCAAATCCCCAGAATAAACCAGCCTGAAACTTCTAAGCCTGAAATTTGACTCACAGTGTTGATGCCTCAGGCCCAATCTTCTGTATTGCAGACAGTTTGGCTCAGGAAAAAAATAATGGGCATAGTTGTTTCCACAAAGTCACTTTTTTCTTTCATTCTGTTCTATCTGATCTGATCCTGTTTATCCTTCTGAAGAAATAATTTTAAAAGTGTTTCAGCCTTTGCTGCTGACTAATTATCAACTTCTTTCAAGTGAATTTTCCCATCCTTCCTCTTCTCTTTGCTCCTAAAATAACCATATTTAAAGATATTTTTAAAATATAAAAAGATAATGCAATGGCATCCCAGATCTCCAGCCAGCAAGCTGGCTTTATGCAGGGCCTGGCTCAAATACCTCTACACAAATACTTGGTGTGTGGGGAACAAACAAGAATAACTAGACAAGTGCACACACCTGCTTGGGGATGACAACATCAGCATCACAGAGATATGGTGGGATGGCTCCTGTGACTAGAGCTGTGGAATGGAAGGTTTCAGGCTTTTCAGGAACGACAGGCTAGGGACATGAGAAGGGAATATAGTCCTTATGTCAATGACCAGCTGGAGTAGTTGCCTGGGAAAGGATGAAGACCCTGCTGAGAGCTGATGGGTGAAGATTAAGGGGGGGAGCAGGGACAAGGGATGTTATAGTGGGAGTCTACAGGCCATCCAATCAGGAGAATGGTGTGGATGAAACCCTCTGTAGGCAGATGGGTGCCTGCACACTCTTAATCCCTGGTGCTTGTGGGGGATTTCAACCTTCTTGATGTCTGTTGGAAGGACAACATGGCAGGCAAAACAAAATCCCAGAGGTTCCTCAAATGTGTAAAAGACAACTTCCTTACACAAGTGATTGAGGAGCCAACAAGGTGAGGTGCCATGCTGGACCTTGTGCTCACCAACAAGAAGGAGCTGATGGAGAATGCAGTGCTCCAAGGCACTGTAAGTGATGACAGAATGGTGGAGATAAAGATCCTCAGGGCACTAAGAAAGGCACGCAGCAAAATCTGCTCCAGACATCAGGAGAGCAGACCTTTGGCCTCTTCAGGGACCAACTCCATAGAGTCCTGGAAAGCAGAGGGGCCCAAGAATGCTGGCTGAATTTCAAGGATCACTTCTTCCAAGCTCAAGATCAATGGATTCCAACAAGAAGGAAATCAGGAAAAAATTCCAAGAGGCCTTCATGGATGTATAAGGAGCTGCTGAGCAAGCTCAGAGAGAAAAACAAAGCTTTCGGGAAGGGGAAACAAGGAGAAGTGGTCTGGGAGTAACACAGGGAAATTTTACAGCAAGCTAAAGACAAGGCTAGGGAAGCCAAGGCCCAGTTAGAATTTAATTTGGCCAGGGATATCAAAGATAACAGAAAGGGCTTCCATAGATATGTTGCAAGCAAATGAAAACCAGGGATGTGAGCCCTCCCCAGAAGGAAAGAGGAGACCTGTCTACCCCGGACAAAGAGAAGGCTGAGGTTCTCAATGGCTTTGTGCCTCATTCTTCTACAGCAAATGTTCCAGCCACACCACCCAAGTCAAGAAAGACAGATACAGGGACTGGGAAAATGAAGACCCTGAGCCCTCTCAGGTTTGAGGCCATCTAAGGAACTTGAATATGCACAAGTCCATGGGACGCAACAAGAATCATCTGCAGGTCCTGAGAACTGGCAAAGTTCCTAAGCCACCATTTTTGAGAAATTTTGGCAGTCAGGTAAAGCCCTCAATGAGTGGAAAAAGACAAATATAACCTCCCTTTTTAAAAAGGGTGTCGGAGTTTGACACCAGCCTACACCAGGCACCCACAAGACTCACTCGCTCACCCTCTCCTGCTACAGCAGGGCAGCAGAGAGAGAAAAAAAATTAATGAATGCTTCGTGGTGAGATAAGGACCAGGAGAAACACTTCAAGGGCAAAATAGTCTCAAACTGCAAAGTGAATTTTATTACTAGCAGAATCAGAGGAGGATAATGAGAAATAAAATAAGCCCGTAAAACAGTTTCCCCCCCCAGCCCCTCCCTCCTTCCCACCGACAGTGCAGGGAAGACCGGGCGTGGGGGTTTTGGTCAGTTCATCACCGAGATTTTCTTCCATTGCTCTGGAAGAGCAGTCCTTCCCCTGTGAGGCCATGGGGTGCCTCCCATGGGAGACAATTCTCCATGAAATTCTCCAGCGTGGTTCCACTCTGATGAACAGCAGCCAAACCCCGCCTGCTGAAGTGTGAGTTCCCCCATGGGCACGCAGTCCTCCCAAAACTGCTGTGGTGTGGGTCTCTCTCTTTCCATGGGGTGCTGTCCTTCAAGGACAAGCTGCTCCAGCCTGGAAGCAGGGACCCCCTCTGTCCACCAGGTCTCCAGTGGGATCACAGCCTCCCCCAGGCATCCACCCTCTCCAGTGTGGGCACCTCCCCCACGCGCTGTGGCTGGATTTTGCATTCCCTGTGGATCCCCGTGGGCTGCAGAGGCACAGCTGCTTCACCATGGTCTCACCACAGCCTGCAGAGGAATCTCGGCTCTGGCACCTGGAGGACCTCCTGCCCTTCCTTCTCCACCTTGACTGATCTCCACCTTCTCCTTCTCTGACCTTAGTGTCACCATGTTGTCTCCCCCACATATTCCACCTCCTGCTCTTCTCTGACTAGAATCAAACCCATGACTTTGTTTTGATTTCCTTCTTAAATATGTTACCACTGAGGCATTACCAGCCTCCCTCAGTGGTCTAGTTTTGGCCAGCAGCATGTCTGTCTTCAGAGCCATCAAGGATTGGCTTTGCTGGACATGGTGGAATCTTCCAGCAGCTTCTAACAGACCCATCTTTGTAACCCTCCTGCTACCAAAAACCAGGCTGTGCAAAACCAATACAAAAGGGAAAGCAGAAGACCCAGGGAACTACAGACCAGTCAGTCTTACCTCTGTGCCAGGCAAGATCACGGAGCAGATTCTCCTGGAAAATATGCTAAGGCACATGGAAAACAAAGAGGTGATGGGTAACAGCCAATGTGGCTTTACAAAGGGGAAATTGTGCCTGAGAAATTTGGTGACCTTCTGTGATGGGGCTACAGTGTTGGCAGAGAGAGGCAGAGCAACTGATGTTGTCTGCCTGCACTTAGGCAAAGCGTTTGACACTGTCCCACACAACATCCACATCTCCAAATCAGAGAGACGTGGATTTGATAGATGGACTGCTCAGTGGATAAAAAACTGGATGGCCACACACACAAGGAGCTGTGATCAACTGTTCCTTGTCCAGTGACGAGTGGTGTCCCTCAGGGGTCAGTACTGGGGCTGATGCTGTTCAACATCTTTGTTGGTGATGTGGACAGTGGAATAGAGCACGAACCCTCAGAAAGTTTGCTGACAATTTGGTTTGTTTGGTGTGTTAGACGTGCTGGAGGGAAGGGATGTCATCCAGAGGGACGTGGATAGGCTTGAGAGGTGGCCCCATGCAAACCTCATGAAGTTCAGCAAAGCAAAGTGCAAGGCCCTGCCCGTGGGTCATGGCAATCTCAGACACACCCACAGGGTGGGCAGAGAAGTGACTGAAAACAGGCCTGCAGAGAAAGATTTGGGGGAGATACTGAACGAAAAACTCACATGAGCACAGTGTGTGCTCAGAGCCCAGAAACCCAATGGAATCCTGGGCTGCATCCAAAGCAGCATGGCCTGCAGGGTGAGGGAGAGGATTCTGCCCCTCTGCTCTGCTCTGCTCTGCTCTGCTCTGCACTGGAGACCCCACCTGGATCCACCTGGAGTGCTGCATCATGCTATGGGGTCCCAAAAAGGACATGGAACTGCTGGAGCAAGTCCAGAGGAGGGCCACAAAGTTGACAAGAGGACTGGAGCTCCTCCGCTACGAAGACAGGTTAAGAAAATTAGGGTTGTTCAGCCTGGAGAAGAGAAGGTTTTGTGGACACCTCATAGAAACTCTCCAGTACCTGAAAGGGGCCTTCAGGGAAGCCAAAGAGGGACTCTTTATCAGGAACTGTAGTGATAGGACAGGACTAATGGGTACAAATTGAAAGAGTAGAAATTTAGGCTAGAGATTAGGAAGGAATATTTTACTGTGAGGGTGGTGAGACCCTGGAACAGGTTGCCTAAGGAGGTTATGGATGCCCCATTCCTAGCAATATTCAAAGCCAGGCTGCATAAAGCCTTGGGCAACCTGGTGTAGTGGGAGGTGCCCCTGCCCATGGCAGGTGGGCTGGGACTAGATAATATTTAAGATCCATTCCAACCTCTTAGCATTCTATGATCATAAGCCCCAGTAAACTATGACTGTTGGGTATTAAGTCTTTCTGACCAAATGGAAAAGCACATACGCCTTCAGTTCATAGTTTTTGCCTCCTAAAAATACAGGTCACCCAGGACAGTGGGCTATGTTTAAAAGTGACTGTGGGCAGACTGAAACACCCTTGTGTTCTCCCTAATGACTTGCCTTTTGGTAGGGAACAGGTGTTTTATAATGTACTTTGGACAGAAATTGAAATTTTGATGAAAATTTAAATGGTGTTAGGTCCTTAGAATTGCATAAAATTATCCATTGCTTAATCAGTTATACACACATACAGGCTTTTTCCTGCAGAAGAGGCTGAATCTTATTTGATGTACCTTATTTGATGTAATTATGTAGTTGTAAAATAAAATGCAATTTATACGGAGTATTTCTGGGTTTATTTGCCATATGTGGCTCACAAAAACAAATGTTAGGTTATCTCTGAATTTTTATTTCAAGTATCCTACACATATTTAAATGTAAAAATTACAGAAAAAAAGGCAATGTGGCATTACTTTATTATGTTCTAAGTAATTTGCATATCCCTTGTAACTGTAAGTCATTCTAGTCAGGAGCCTCTTGGACTCCAGCAATGCAGACATCTACCCTGCTGACAGAGCCAGTGCTGAGTGATGTACAGCTTTCTTCCCATCAACACTTCAAAATTAGTCAAAGGATTACAGAAAGATCTTTTTATCAACAGCCTGGAATTCCAAACTGCATTAAAAATTCTAATATTGCCGGTCAGTTCTTGAAGTAATGTTTTAAGACTGTGTTCTGCAGGGTATGCAAGTTATGATGTTTGGGCTCAAATTCTGACATTATGGCATAAGCAACCACAGTCACTTTAGACTCCTCTTCCTTCCCCTTCTGCACTAGTAATCCAATAGAAGGTGGTTCCTTGGATTCAGAGCCTAGGATCACTTGCACTTTGGTCCAAAAGGACAAATCTTCTCTCCCCTTTACTGCGTGCCTGAGTTCAGTTTTTCTCATGTCTTTTTTTTCGCATACACACGTTGCCAACACCAAAAGCTCGTATGTCCCATCTTCCATTCCTGTATCTCATAGCTAACTTAATACATCCCTAAGATGTAGTTGGTTGGTTTCTTCCAAGCCATGGCTTTGGTCCTCACTGGTGTAACTGGACTGACATAAGTATTGCACACATTTGGCTCCATGTTTTGTAAACTGCACAATAAGTCATCTTTCCATGTCCTTAATATCACAGTCTTCTTCATTCTTATTTAAGATTAGAGTCTCATTGAAGCTTCCTATCGATTAATCTGGAAATTACATCCCTATTTCTCCTGCTGAGATAAAAAGTTCATTCAGTCCAGAAAGATTTTGAGAAAATCTTCTTCCTTCTCAGCTTGTCTGTCACTCTAAGACTTAAGAGTGGATGTTGCTTTGATCCATCCAGTGCAAGAGCATGAAGTTACCTCTTCAGCCTACTTGAACATCAAATGATGAGTTACATCTCATTTGCAGTAAAGGAACTTCATCCAGGATCAGGCTCAGAGCAGAGACAGCCTTGCACACTCATCTTTTCATACCACAGCACCTGCAGGTTTTGCTTTGGAAAGGTGGGAGATATCAATCCAGTGAAGAGCTTCATCTGCTGGCTTTGCACAGAGGCCACGGCCATGGCCTCCCTACAACTCAGTCCTCGTGTTAGAAGCATATTCTTTCTCAGAAAAAGAGGGCTTCACAGAGGAGTGAAATTTGATACCAACCTCATAACAGCATTGTAACATGTTGTGTAGCTGTAAAAGTATTTCTTAGCTGACTAACTCTCAAAAGTTACCGTAGTGCATAACAGGGCTTGCCAAAGGCTTGTCCAGCACAAGCAGGTCACTGACAATGTACCTGTACTTTCAGGCTGTTCTGAAGAGACCCTATATTAGCATTTATTTCCTCTCCATAGCACTCAGCCATCTAGCTTGTGTTTACTGATGAGTCCACAGTGCCATCAACGTCAACTTAGACAGAACTTGAAGGAAGGTCATTTTTGCAAGTGCTGTTGCTGTTTGAATGCTGGAAAGTTGTTATTTCATGTACGTTGATGAGGGTGAGCATGTGCTTCATATCTGGTCTGGGTTTTTGATAACTGGGAGATATAGTCTCTTTTCTTAGACATGTCTAAANCACAAAGGAAAGCTTAAAACTGAGAATTCCTATGAAAGGCAATTTTTAAAAAGAGCAACTTTTGAAGGTTTTCCTTCTTCTCTTTGCTAACCATAGCTCATTACACCTTTCCCATTTGTTTGCCAATGGAAACACCCAGTACCAATCAAAACAGCTGTTTCTTGCTAAACCAATGAACCTTATAGGACAAAAGCCTCAGTCAAAAAAGGAAATTTATATTTGATTCACATTTTCATCTCAACAGGCCTTGCACCAAGCTTTTGCAAGTGTGCTTGCACCTGCCTTCAATGCAAGCCAGTGCCTGAAATATTTTCATCAAGTTGTCAAAGTAAAGCCCCAGCTCTGCCAACCAGTTGTAAAGAGAATGTCACTGTTGAGCTTAGTGGAGATAAGGCACAATCTTCACTACAGAAGAGGACAAGGCAACCTGTAAGAACTTAACAGGCATTTTAAATAATGAACCTCAATTGTGAGATCAGGTCGATATTAGATTTTGATGAAAGCTAGGTTGATACCTGAGACAGGGCCTCACCCAAAAGTAAGATACATGTAATTCCACCAGAGCGATTATCCTCACTGTACAGCTCTGCTTTTTATAACTGCACCACTAAAACTAGGACTTTTTTTATGTAAGGGGAGGAGAGATTTCTGTAGGGATCTGAAATTCTTTCAGGACACTGAGAAGAGCATGATGCATCTATCTCTTCTGAGTGATAGCCTTGCTTTCATACTTCCATCCTAATAAATTCCTACAAGACTTATCTCGTCAAACTTTAGTCTGAATGGCACAAATTACTGGCAGAATTGTCAATCTAAAAAAGAGACAGGCATAAATTTAATTGCTCCCTGAAGATACATGGAAAGCTACATTTAGCGCAGCTAATTAGATACACTCTGATCAACAGTTATGATTCATCTGCTGAGGAGCAAAACAAGAAGGCAAATATGAAATAGGCAACAAAAGTTAACTCTGACCTCCCAAAATGCTGGGGCTGATTTTGGTTTGGTTTTTATAACAAATGCTGCCAGTGCTGCACTGTACTGGCACCCAAGATTCCTGCTGCCTCTGAGCCAGGAGGTGCAGACCTCTGCATGAAGGGGTGACTTCACTGCAGCTGCACCCAAAGCATAGTTATTCTTCTATGGAGTGAGCTTTCCCAAGTACCTCCTCTCCCTTCCTTTCTCAGAACTACTAGCCAGCAGTAAAGGTATGGATAAACTCCCCAATGAGGTTTTTCTCCATGTATTTTATAATGTCTGTTTAACAAGAAAGATGTGACTTCACAAAAATGCTTGTCTGAAATGGGGTTGTCACCTATTTACAAGTATGGAAGCTGAGGCAAAAAGCAGGTAGACATGTCCATCATGCCACTACACAAAACAATTCCATAGGTGGGGAAAGGCTCCCAGGGGTCTGTGCCTCCATCTTGGACAAATGCTGTACTTGGGTACTAAACCAGAAGACCTGTTGCTGTGCCCTTAAAACTGATAAGTAGTTTACACAGAGTAATTGGGAGCAGAAACGAGCAGTGAGAGTGCAGGAAAATGACTGACAGCTTGCTTGAGTTAGATCAGAGTCAGATCAGGGCGCAGTTCTCTCTCTTTGGAACACCATCCTTATGTACCTGAGTTTAATCATAAATTAAGTATGGACACTAACTTCAGACCAGCTGTGTTAAAGCAGTGCTAACAGGGAAAATGAGTGGGGGTATTTTGGTTGGTATTGTTGCTTTGCTTATGAGAAAGGGAATTACTTACACAAGTAAAGAAGATGAGCAGCAAGTAAAAAATCCCAAGACAAGTCAGCATGAAGAGCTCGCCTTTGTATTTTTTTATTTTGTCCTCTTCTATTCCAGGGCAACCTAAAATGTAAAGCAAGGTGTTACATTGCTCTGCTGTTTGTAAAATATTTTAAAACTGTCACCTTCCTGACAGGCTGAGCATGGGACAGTCAAAGCTCTCCACTGTACCTGTTACTTTTAATGTGACTGTGCTGCTCAGATTGCGTTCTCCGTTCTGCCCCTCCAAAGTACACTTGTATGTCCCGCTGTTTCGGCCGGTTGCATTTTTGATCCTTAGTGAAAAGGAGGTGTCATTGGAGAGCTCCAAGGAATCCCCAGCTTCTTGTGGATAGTGAGATTCCACATCAAGGACTTCCCATACTATTCCTTCGCTGTCTCCAGCCATCTGGAAAATACAAATATATTTCTCCTCTTGGGCAACAGTGTCATCCTCAGTTTTAGGGTAAAGAAAATTTTAAAGCCGGCTTATGGCTGAAAATGCAGAGGCTGAAGAGAGGCAGGGGGAAGCACAACCTCAAATCTATTTAATATGTTCATGCTTGCAATCCAAAAGTATATGGGGCTTTGCTGAAATTGACTCTATCTATAAATAGGAATTATAGAACTATTCTGTAATAATTTCTTAAGCTGCCTCACCTGGACAGCAACATGACAGAAGGCAGGGGTAGCAGAGGGCCCGGAAGAGTTCAGACCGAGAGAGACAGTCCATGGGGATGGAGCAGAGGCAGCAAGGGGCAGCCCTACCCAGGCGATTAGTAGTGGCTCTGGGGACCAGAGGTACCCAGGAGAGCATGGGAGCAGACAGGGAGGCTCCACTGCTGCCTGTGCTTGCCCTGCCAGCACACCTTCTGCCATGCAGTGGTGACAATTAAACCTGCTCACCCAGCAAGTGTGCCACTGCACGAGGGTTCTGCCAAGCACAGGCTGGCATCCTCCCAGCCTCTCCGCAGCTCAGAGTTCCCTGTGGGAATGCAGCCCTGGAAAATGCACTTTCCTGTGCCAGTTTCTATGTAGCTGACCCCTGAAACCATGCTGCCTCTCTGGAGGAATAGAAGCTTCCCCCCACCCCACTTCCCTCCCTTCCACTCATGACTGGAACCAAAGAACAAAAAATTGGTTCAGCTCCTTCAGATGCGGTTGCGTGAAGGTCACAAGCAGGTTCTGGTGCACTTGGGGAGCATTTGTATGTTGAATTTCTTAATTGTAACCAGAAGAGCTACATTCCTTGGCATTGCTGAGAGGCTGCGGGAGGAATGAAGTGTATTCCCAGAACAGCTCGAACTGCGGGGCGATAGGACACACTGAAAATGACAATTGGCTGGGAACCACAAAGAAGAGAGAAATCACTAAGTTGATTTGAAAGATGGAAGAAGGGTTTGAATTAGCCCGTGTCCATTCTTATTCATCGAAGCTGCACCCTGGGATTCGAGGCAGCATGACTTCCATAAAGGTTTCCCAAGTAAGGAATTCAATCTTTCTGAGGACCAGCAGAGCCAGAGCCAGCTCATAAGTCCAAGGCTCAGCATTTCAGCCAAACACATAACTAATGTAAGCCAAGGCTTTTTTATTATTATTATTTTATTTTAATAGACACATTTTTGGGTCATATGTTGGTGCTTACTTTCTATCAGCATAGCTACTGCATCGGGGTATACCAGTTACACTGCAAGTTATTAAAATTAACACAACTTTCCCATACTGAGGCTAGGAGTATCTGGTTTCCCTTTCATGTGTTTGCACGGGGAAAGCACACTCGACAGTCTGGAGAGAAGTATGGGTCTGCTCCCTTAAACACTGCTATTTTTGCAGCTTAAAGTGGTGTAAAACAAGCTGCAGTTTGGGGAACTTTGCAGGAACTGAGGAATGAGATTGAAAGCACAAGATTTCCTTAATTGTAAAGATTATTTCTCAGAAAGGTTTTGGGTTTTTTAGTGCATCAACTGAAACACAGCAGTAATTTCCTGGGGCTTTCCACACTTTACCCAGAAAGAGGGAAGAATCTTTCCCTTAATCCCCCAGTAAATTTACCCCAGCTTCTCTTTCTTATTACGCTCAGCCCCAAGCAGCTACAAGACAAGCAGTATGTATGGTGGTTTCAGGCTGTAGAGACTTCACTGTGCTACAGGGATTTAGGTATTTTCAGGCCTTGCACATTGTCAGAGATGTGGCCAGAGGAATTCCAATACCCAGGCTGGGCTCAGCTCTGGTTACAACTAGGTCAATAACAGTTAAGTGGATATAGTTGACCTCCCTCAGATCTAATTTTTGCCACTCTCCCGTCCCTTACCACCCCCTTCCTCAGTGAAATTTAAAACTGCCCACAAGGCAATAAAAGGAACCAGCCTGGCTGCCCTTTGCATTGCCCTAAATTGCAGATAGGAGGTCTGAGCTACACACAAAAAATTAGATTTGTTTAGGAATTTTTGGTTCTGTTTTTTCCTTTCATTTACTGGAAGCATAAATAATTGCTGTCTTGGGTAGTAAATGGTGGTGTGATTCTTGTGGCTGAGATCTGGGAATGAAAAAACACTTTGATCTTTCTGTATGCAATTGCAATCAGCACTGCTCATATAAGGGAGAACTCAATTAAGTCTATGCATCCCATGCCTGACCATGCACTTATTTCAAGTGAGATTTTGGGTAAATGATTTAACTTCCCTATTTCATGGGAGCAGTGAGGGATAGGATTGATTATTGCCTCCAAAGCTTTTTAAGGTGCTTGGTTGCTGTTGCAAGCACAATGATGGTGACCCTGCAGACAAGACTGTCAGAATTTTCCCTTAGAAATGCTCTGTGTAAGGCAAAGCAGCATCATGAAACTGCACTAACAATATGCTTTACCCCAAAATAAGAAGAAAAAGTTACTTTGTGGCCTAATCTGGCTCCCTCACTTGCAGAGAAACCACTGGTGACCTGGATGGGGGTTGTGAACCTTGCATTTGGGGAGGAGGAGGAGGAGGAGGAGGGGGTCATTTGTGTGGGTTTAATTCGGGGTTTGCACGCCTTTCTTCCTCCATTAAATCTCCTCATTGCTGAAGGGCAAGGGCAGGCAAGGCAGTCTGCAGGGGTGCTGTGTGCCCTGCAGTATTCCAACATTTTTTAGGCTGCAGAGACATCTGGTGGCATCTTTCCAGCCTCTGCAGGCAGTGCATCCACCCCTACTCAGAGGTCACAGCAACCTTTTCGCTGATGCCTGAATCAAGCCTTTTTCAACAGCAATCTTATCTCCTGTTATCTTATTTTAAAATACAAAAACAAAACAAACTACCCCCCTCCCTTTTTAAATTCTCTACACAGCGAGAAAACATCTCAGCAAATTTGCAGAGTGCATCCTTGTATCTCAGCTGTATAAAAGGAAGCCATGAGATGTTCAGTAAGGTCATCGTTCTGCCTCTTGCTCTATTCAAGATAACCTCTTTCCCACCCCAAATCTAATTAAAATTACAAAAATGCCACTTTGCTTGCCACCTCCTGTGAATTACTTGGCAGTCTCTCTCACTGGACAGATCATTCTGCAGCTCAAGCTTCTATGATAAACCAGCCCTAATTCATGCCAAATGTCCTCCAGGTGATACCACAGCCCAAGGTAAATGCTGGGGGTTTTACCTAATTAATTCCACACAAGCTTAGAGGGATCAAAGCAAGCGCTGCCAGAGACAGCAATCCACTTGTGTAGGGATCATCCTCTTCTTTAATTAGTGAAAAAAATCTTTTCTTCCCACGTTTCATTTGTGTTTGGTTTCCCTTACACCTCACTGCTGAGCAAACTGCAGCATGCCAGCTTCTCCTGCTCCCCACATCCAAATGGAGGAGAAAAGGAAGGAGGTCTGTTCCTGCTCCCATGTTTGCTGCTAATGGATTGACCAAAATTCAAAAGGCAAATCATGACTTGTGTGGGGACACATAGAAAATTCTGCTAAATCTATTTTCATAAAAAGGGCCTTGTTACCATGCAGTCTGCTGGGGGTTAATTCCTCCAGAATTTTTCAGGGGAACAGGGACTTGCTGGCAACATAATTCTGCCTATCTGCATAAAACTGCCCCTTAAGAAAATTTAAAAACAGAAGAAATGTGAGCTTATGTTTAATGTCACATATACATTGTCCTTCAGCAATGTCTGTGGCAGACTTTCAGAAATGACCTGGCAGAATATCTTCAGCAGATGCTGAAGTGAGGTGATCCTTCCCCTCTGTTCAGTCCCTGCTGAGACACACCCTGGAGCACTGGGTTCAGCTGGGCTCCCAGGGCAAGAGAGACATGGTCATATCCCTCCTTCACTGGAGGATCATCACAAAGATGAATGGAGCACCTGACATGAGAGCTCAGCCTGGAGGAGACCAGGGCGAGGATCATCTTACCAGTATTGATTCAACAGGAGGATAGAGAAATTGGACTCAGTGGCCTTCAGAGGAAAGAAAAGAGGCAATGGCCAGGGACTGAAATTCAGTCAAAAAAAAGCCAAATAAAAACCCTTTTTACTGTAGGAGTGGTTGAACACTGGAATGGCCTGCCCAGAGAGGATGGAGAGGAAATCTCCATCCTTTGAGATATTCAGGACTAAACTGGCCACAGCCTTGAGGAGCCAGCTCTAGTTGTCAGTTTTTAGTGTGTTTAATTGAAAGTTATTCTAGTTCCCAAAATCTTGGAAACACGTGGTCTAAAAAGGTTGTGATTTTCCCAGATATACTCTCTGGTCAATTGACTGATTCCTATTCAAGTTTCTCCTAGCCCAGAGCTTTTTGACAAGAACACTGGTGGTGATACAGAGGATATTAAAATGAGATATGTTTGATTGAAAATACCACTGAATTAATATATTTCTGTTCTCTGACTGGATGAATTATGAGAAATAGGTAGAATAATTAGGCCCCCAAAATTTAAGTGCTCTTCAGCAAATATTTCTTTTTCAGAGAACTAAAAACAAGGTGGAAGAAGGAGGAGGAGCACTGTGCTCAGTTCTAGCTGGCTAAATTTTAGCTGTGGTTTTGAAAACTACTACAGCATTACATGGTAGTAAATTAAAAGGCAATTCACCCAGGATGTAGTGCTCACACCCAACTAATCAATTAATATTTAATTTTATTAACATGTGAGAGTGAGCAGTTCTCCCACTAACTCATGTTCTCTGCTCTCATTAAATACCTTTTCTCATCAAAATTTTCCAACACTAAGGTGGTACACTGTCTTCAAGGTAAATCAAAATGCCAATATAAACTACTTTTCCCATACAAGAAATTTTTATTTCAGCAAAAATGGTTGAGGTCCAAAACTGATGTCAGTTTAAAGGTGGAACATATTAACATCAGATTATTTTCTAGTGAGGGTGAGATAATTGTAAAAATGGATTTGTTTAAAATTATACCAGGCATAATGGCCAAGTTGAAATTTCTGACTGTTATAGAGAGATAAAAACCTACATAAAGCCAGAAGGAATTTATTTTCTGAAGCAAAATATATAGAATTCTGGCAATGCCCAATAGCCTCATATAATGAAACACAACTGAGCCGAAACTGCTTAATAGGTGTATTTTTCAGCACAAAAATGCTTCCATATTCTATTAGTGCTAAAGGTGCATCCATATGGTTCCTATACAGTGTCATGTAGAGATACCAAACTTAAATTTGAAAATAGCATACATAAATTGTGGGCACATGTGAGTGAACTCAGAATGTGCTTTAAAAAGGGAGAGGGGGTGGGGGGAGAGATGAGGAAAGAAAATCCAAAACCCAACCCCAAAACAACAGCGAAGGAACTATGAGCCAGCTGGAAAAGCCCTTTGACTCACACAGAGTCTTTATTGTTTAGTTGGTTTGGCTTGATTTGATTTTTTTTAGCTGAGGGCATCCAGCCTTAGCTCATGTCAAACAAAAGAATTGTTTTGGTCATGAAATCATTTCCACTGCTCCCTTCCTGTCTAAATCATCAATGTGATGAAGCTACTTGGGGGTGAATGGATGGCTGAGGAGCACTGGACTGCATTTCTTTGCATAGGTTAGAAATTCGGCTGAAGTAATTTAGCAAATATTTACCTATGCTCATACATTACAGCTATGCACTTTTAGCAAAAGTAGTTTCCTTTGGAGGAAGGTGCAGTCAATATTATATGTTTAAAATGTTTATTCTTATTTTGTAATATGACTCCCCGCTCTTATTCTGCCACAATTTTATATTTTTCAAGGAAGTGCTATAAAGTTAATTGATTTCTCTCCACTGAAGCACAGCCTTCTTTCCTCTTCTTCAAGATTTGTTTTAGATTAAGACTCTTCTGGCCATCACATGAAGAAAATAGTGTAATATCCACTGGGACTTCATTTGTGTGTGTTTAAACTTGATTTTCAAACTGGATATAAAGTGATAATTATGAGGGTTTATGAAGTGGTTCTCATTTTCAATGTACTGCACAAAGAGAAACTGTTCAGTTTTCAACAGCCCTATGAGGCAGAACGAAAAGTAAAGTTTCATTGCCCAGATTCCTGTCTTGTAGGTGGGCTGTAGAGATTCAAACCAGCATTTCCATAGACAATTCCCAGTGTCTGGGTGCTTAGGCAAAAGAGGCCAAGTTTTCAGTTCTCAGCTGGCAAACATCCACACTGCTCATATATGGGTTTATGGCATCCAGGCTGTCCAGCACTCCTAAAAACACACTTTAAGACCATCATCACTATGAATTCTTTTCCTTGGCCTTTTTCTAGTGAATGGAATGAGAGCTGCACCAGGCTACCTTCTCCCCAGTGTGTTCAGCCAGCCTACTTCATATGTTTTTAAGTAAAAATCATTTTGTCTGAGCTGACTGACTGTGGTCCTGATTCTGCACAAAACTACTTATACAGGTGATTACCTGCATGAGAATAATTAGCTCCAATGATCCTGGATGCAGGTCAAACACATCCATGCTTTTTTTTGCAGTATGAGACATTAGCAAAAGCAAAGGAATTGAATGCAAACCTTCTTTATTACACCTAGTTGGATTTTGACACCAGAATATTAACTGCATTAGACAATTACTTCTCTATACAGCAAATACTTTTAAATTACAACCTTTTTTTTTTTTTTTTTTAGCAGATTGTAACAAACTGGCCCTTAATTAGTCTTAGCACACCGAGGTGCCAGAGGGAAGGAGGGGTTTGCTCACGGAACATTCACCCTGTGCAAACAGCTGCACAAGCAGCACCGTAACATTGCCACCATCATTTTTTTTAAAGCAACAGAAGCAAAGGTTAATTGCTTGCATTTACTTCACAGTTCAAAGTGACCTCATACAAAAGATTTTGCCTAACAGCTGCTTGAACTTTACAGCCTGAAATTTCATACAATTTGTTGCAATTACCTTTTAATTAGTCCTTTGGGTTTATATGTGGTGTTTATTGATTAATCCTTCGGTAGTTGTTTTTAAATAACAGAGTAATTACCTGTGTTGGGTGAGGGAATGGTAGCACACTCCACCATTCCCTCACCCTCCTTTGCAGTGTTGAGTGGGGACAGTAGCACAGAGTCAAAGTGTAGAGAGGGGAGGACAAAGATCTTCAAGCTGTTGCTTGTTTAGCTAGCCCCACAAGTAGAAGTATTGGCTGTTCAGCACAAAACACTGAGCCTAGATTGCTTTTCCCCACGGAGAGTCAGGCTTTTTAGATTTGGCACTCTGCTTTTCCTAATTTGGCTGCAACTGTGTCTTGGGCTGGCGTCACTGCCTGCCTGTCCCCACTTCCCACCTCTCTCATGGGACAAGCAAACAGAAGACTGCAGAACCATGGTTGGTGCCATCAGCCCCTGAGGACTGGCAAGAGCTGACAGCAGCAAGGCTTTTGTTGCTTTTTGTGCCAGCAGAGAAAATAAGAGTGAGGCTCTGTCATGCTGGACACTGGAAAACCAGTCTTTTCCTGAGCAAAGCAGTTGAAGCAGGAAGAGCAAGGAGACCATGGAGGGAGCGAGGATTGTAGGGACAGGGCAGGGGACATGCAGTGGCAGTCTAGACTGTGACAGCATGTCTGCTGCAAGGGGAAGCAGCACCACAGAGGGCCCCCACAAAAGGCATCATCAAATATCGCCTTCCTGTGCATGTGCAGTCATTTTGTGCCCAGGTGGAACTGCAAAGAGGCAACACAGAATTGTGTTTATAGGCTTTCCTTACACTTCTTCATCAGGGAATGGCTTTTGGCTGCTGTTTGCTGCTTTGCCTTCCCTGTTCCCACTGAACTTGGGGAACCACGTGGATCCCTACACTTCAGCCTGTTATTGTTTTTGTTGACTTCCAACCAGTCAATATGCTATGGGGGAGACTTTTCTGGGATCCAGTCAGCCTCTCTGTTTATTCCTCCCCCACCCCCTACCACTTCTTCTCAACTCCTCTAGGTCCACCAGACAGCATGGTTTGCCTTCCATGAGCTCCTTGCCCTTCCTGGGCACTGTGAGAGAAAGGGAGCCTGCAATATTAGCACATATCTGAATGGGAAATATAGATCCTTATCCAGTTTTTGAGGCAGAAAAAATTAGTTGACTCATATTCCATATCCCATAGTAAAGTTCAACCAAAAGCATTATTCTCTCCTCTCTGTCTACCACCTGTACTTAGTTCAACAGTTTGGAAAAAGATGCTGCACTTAATGGGTTGGCACTCAGATGTTCAAAACAGCTCTTTTGAGGTGTAGCTGTCATCTAGTCTGTAGGCAAATGCTCATTGTTGTACCAGCAGTGAAACTCAGATGCATTGCAAGTTTCAACCTCAGAAGCCGTATCTAATACCAAACACTGTTTGTTAGTTTACTGTAGGAAATGAGTTTAAAACTGTATCTGACTGAACTGCTGAGGAAGAAGGCTGTGGTTTTAGGTTCTGGCAGAGATAAATTAACGGTTTTCAACATATATAAATAAGGTTTTCTCCTCTTCCCTTCCACTTTTCTACCTTCACATGGGAAATTAATTCAACTCTGTAACCCACAAAATCTTTATTCACAGATTGATTTTCCACTATTATAACAAGCAACGGAGAGTTGACTTAACAGGTAACAAAGGACAACCACGAGTGGCCTATGATAAGCAGCAGAAGTGTATGGCTGGGAGTGGGGAATGGAGAAGCTCTCCATCTGCCTTCTGCTCATATCCTGCCCTTACCCACCCCACTAGTCAAATCTTCCTAAAGAATAGCAAGTACTTTTTTAGTTCTTCTATTTCAAACAAAAAATCATCTCCTATTTTAAGGGGATTAAGCAAGAGCAGTATCATTGATGTTGCAAGGCTTAAATACCTTTTATTTTTTTTTTTTGTCTGAAGAAAACCCTGGAAGAGTTCTCTTTGGAGTAGTATTTGGCAGGTTGTACATAGGGCATAACCTAAATTTTGATCCAGAGAAGCCAGCAATAATCAAATAGAAAAGCAGGCCAAGAGCAATTCAGGGAATCATGCTCAAATAGCCTGTTTCCAATGACATGGAAAAGGCCTGTTCAGCTCAAAGGTTTGCAGTGCTGCCTTCCCTCTGCTACACTAATGGGAGGATTCCTCTGCAGAAAACAACCCATTTCGTACAAGACAAGCCAGTATCAGGTAGGGAAGCAAAGCAGACTACTCAAGTAACTTAGGCTTTTTCTTACCTTATACCAAGATGCTGTCTGGTAGGAGATGGAGGAGTCCTGAAGAGCTTTACAGGGCAGCACTGCTTCCTCAGCACACCTCACAGCAACATCTGGGATCATCACAGAAGTCCCACGGATCGAGCACCAAACTGCAAAGCACAGGTACACATCACCTTTAAACGAGATTGCTTACACAATCCTTCCCGTCTTTCCAAAACATATCCCCACAAAACAAACATGAAAGACCAGAAGGAAAATTGCGGGGCTGCCCACTTACCATTGCACAGGATGATGAGCAGAGCACAGACTCCCAAAGACATGGCTTTTACTGCTTCAGATCACAGAGCAGCAACAGCGTGCCTCTCTGCAGGGTGGACTGAGAGAGCAGAGTGAAGCTGTGACTGCTTTCAGAGTGATATTTCTGAAGGCAGACTGGGGAATCCCCCAGACTTATCTTGAGGTTTTTCGTCATAGGGAAAATCCCTGCATGTATGAATCAAGGCTCCTCCCCTTAAATCTGTGAGGTCACACCCATTTTTCTGCAAACACTTGCGCTCGTAGCAACTCACCTCCCTTTTTTCTTTTTTTCTCCTCCTCTGTACTGATCTGCACAGAGTTAAGGTTGACCAAGGGGCACTGTAGGTTGGTGTGAAGGCCACCGAAATCAGCGCTGGGCAAATGTCTCTTGAGTGACAAAATGTCAGGAGAAAGGGCTTGTCAGCTCAAAATCCCCTCTCAACATTCTCTCTGCAGCTCTAAGAGTACAGTGCATGTGCAGAGCTTGGCCTTACAATGTGACATTTCTGAAACCACATTTAAGACCTGAGGTCACAGTGCCACGGAAACACCTTGACTTGGGGCTAAGGGCTAAACAGGAATTATCAGCACAGCTGAGCAAAACAAACTGTATTTCAGTGGAGTTACACGTTTAACTCTGCAGTTAGGCACACGTCAGGTAGAACATTATCTCTTCTTAGCATATTTTGTCATTTTCAAGACAAACAAAGGAATCTGGAGTGGCATAACTTTACAAATTATATGCTGGAAAATTTCATCGTGGAAAATCATCCCAGAAGAGGAACCACTTGGACATCCCCTCTAGATGGGGAGAGGGGAAATCCTTTCCCTATGATCTGTGAGAGCTGTTTACCCCTGGAGAATTTTTAAGTCCAAGGTCGATCAAAGAAGCATTTACAAATCCTGAAACTGAAAGTTGCTGATGTTATTTTTGGCAAACCCTTAAGGCTGCTGTCTTGAGGCTACTGAGATCATGATGAAGAGAAGCTATTTGCAGGGGGAGGGGGTTTAAGATTTGATGGGTGGAAAATGTATAGTCAGCCCCATTTGAAAACTAGGGTTAGGGTTCTGGAAGCCACTCCAGTCTGGACACCCTAAATCCAAATAACCTCTAGAAAACTTTGTGAGAAGTCAGTTTGACAAGTCCTCACCATGCAAAAGTCCTACTCAGATGGGTAAATGCTGTGGGTGGGTAGCACTTTTGGAAACTCCAGTTTGTTCTGTGGAGAAAGTCGGACAGCAATTTCACTGGGGGCCTCACTGTTTAAATAGCCCACTTATTTTTAAAGCTTTTTGCTTCTACCTTCATTGATCATAATGGTAAATGTAACAGGCTCTCAGCTTTATTTTTCTCTTTATGTTTTCTGGTTTCAAGGACCAGGACCTCAATCTATTACTTAGAAAGTACAAGTGGAATATAAAACCCAGTGGATCTCCTGAGAGTGAGAGAAAATCACTTCTTTCTCCTGTGTGAAATAATAGTCCTTGAGAAGATAGAAGGGGGGGTGGGCTGCTGCTGAAGGAAATCTTAGAGAGAAGAGGGCTCCAGTTAATATACTTCACATCTGTTCTTCACTAAAATGATGATTTTCTGCCCCCATGTGTTGGTCACACATCAAGCCCATCTCCAAGAAGGGCACTCAGCTTTCACCCAAGGGCTTCTTTCTGTGAGTCCTGCAGAGCTACATGTTTACCCTTCATAAACCCATCAAGAGACACAGCCTTTCTCTTTCTCCCTTTTCATCATGAGGAAATCCCCATGGGCGAACCATAGCAAGCTCAGCCCACAGCAGTCCTTCCCCTGGTGGCCTGGCCAGCAGCAGCCGGGGGGGCTGTGGCAAACCTGAACCTGGGGTCACAAGTTTGCCCACACAGAAGTGCACCGAAGGTAAGCATAAAGGGCCAGGCTTCAGCACTGGGAAATGTCCATGCCACACACACTTGCCGAGGTGATGTTAAACAACATTCTACCTCAGTTGGTTAAAATATAGGAGTCTTAAAAACACACGGGTTTTCCCTCCAGGACAGGCATAACTTCAAGCAAAACAGCCCTTTTCCTGTAGAAGTATTTGCAAGCTCAGCTGCTGTTCCACAGTACACTGCGTGAAGCAGGAGAGCAGGATACAAAAAACAAAAGCTGAAACTCCCTTTGCTAGGGAAGGAGAAATAATTTGGTTTCTAAATTTTCCCTGGTAGGGATTTTTTTTCTTTAGGGAAACTTTGAACTGGGGTGTACTTTCCATCCTAACTTTTAATATCCTTTCTGTGGTTTCAAAGGTCAAGTCTATTGTCTCCAGAGCCCTGGAACCTGCTTCGAGTTTCACTGAACAGTGGAAGCAATGGGAGCTCTGTGGCACGGGTCTGGGTGTGGGAGTGATTGCCTGTCAGCCTTCTCCATGAGAAACAGATCCACATCTTTGAGGGCCCTCAGCAACCTCAGGAGCCACACAGTTAGGTGAATAAGTGGAAGTTTATCATCAAATGCGTTGTTCTGTGGACCTAGTGAGACCTGCTTTTGTACAGTGTGTCCTGTTGCCTTTTGCTCTCCTTCCCCTGCCTGCACCACTCACTACAGGAACCGTGAGCCCTTGATCTCACTGAGGAAGAAGCAGCATCTGCTCCGGTGAGTCCAGAGCTGCACACGTGATGACTGACATTAGCAAGCAGTCTGTAAAACTGCTGCGTTCTGCCCACCTTCCCCTTAGCAAGGGTGCTCATTTGGATCTTCATCTTTGACCCAGCTGCTGATTTTCATGTATTTCATAGGCATTTAATTCTCTTTGAGCCTCGATCCCTCTGTCAGTTTGATAGAAAGCAGGTTCAGAACATACTGGCTGATAGACAGCCAGATGGCATGATCACAGAAATTTCGTTCTCTGTGGGAAATGAGGCTATAAGCACAAGGATGTGGGATGGATTCATAGGATAAGGTTAAAAAGTCAAGACTGTATATTTTTTTCAGTGATGATAGAGCCTTGGAAATCCTGTTCATGGAAACGTATCTTGTTTCCTTGAACCAGGTAGGTACTACATCCCTCAGATACTTGTGTAGCAGAGTTTTCCTGATTTCTCACTCCAGTGTGTGGCTGCAAAGTATATCAGAGTGCTTATTTCACGTGTTTTCCCCCAGACATTCATCAGGAAGCGTGACATTTAAGAAAAAACAAAACCTTGGGTCTCTACAAGGAATACAGAGCTCTCCACAATGAAGGTTGAAAGGTTAAGACAAAGGCGTCAAAACAGCATTTAGCATTTTTGTGAAGGCACAGATTTTTCTATATTTGGGATATGATTATTAAATATCATTTGATTCACTGCATTTAAGCTCCTGCTGTGAATAAGGTGCATGAATGTGCTTCATGTCTGTTGTGAAGCCTCTGGTGAAGAGGGTTGTTTGTTTATTATTATTAATCTCCTGTGCAGCAATAAAAATTGTCTGCTTCAGTTCAGCCAGCAAAACTGGAAGCCTTTTGTTATATGTTTTAACAGGCAACTGTTTTTTAAATAATATACTGTGTATTACATTGCAATGTCAGCTGAAGGAACAGTGACAGAAGAATCCACAGCCACAAAAGCAGAGCAGTCATGTAGTTTCAGGGTCCCAGAAGAGCTGCAGCCAGAGTTTATTTTCCTGTCATGCCTTGATCTTGATGCTGCCCACACCAGCAAGTAAAAGCAACTGAGACTTTCCAGGCTGCAGCTAATGAGGGGTATGTAAATTACTCACAAACTGGAGTGAGGAAAGTTTAAGGACAAGTTCCCTTCTCTGCCCCTTTATGGCAGATACTGGGTCAGGGACTGCCTTTGCTATTTAAACAGTGACAACCCAGCAACACTGAGAAACCAAAACACTGGAATTGTGACCTGGCTGGGAGCACAGAGCTTTGTATTACAGACTGTCTGCTGTTGCCAGCTCAATAAATAACACCCAATTAATTATATACAAACAGCCGGTCCTCTGAAATGCCTGGACTTTGGAGTGAGCCATTTGAGATGTGCCAGCCCTGTTTCTCAAAATAGGAATTAAGCATACTCATGTAGAAATTGAAGTGTGACCCAAAGAACAGATCCAAATGGGGGCATCCAAAATAAGAAACCTCTTCAGATGCTGTTGGCGTGGGAGTTTAGGAATTGCATTCAAGCAAGAAGGGAGCAAGAGATGATCTCAAGTCTATACACATGACTGTAAGAATTAGGATAAGGCTGTATTGAAGCTGCGCCTAGTCCAGCACCTTGTCTGCAGTGAGCTGTCAGGTAGCCAAGCAGCCCAAGGTGCTGTATTCAAGCTGCAGTATCCACTGGAGATACACATTGAAATCTCATTTTTAACAGGACCTTGGATCCTCTTTTTTCATCTGTTTGGTAGATGGTGCTTGTCTCACCAGGCCTGGGGACTTCTTGGACAGAAATCTTTGCAGATTTCAGTGTACTCTACATTGCTTGCCCTACATGTGGGGTCATCCATACTGCCTTCCCCAGAAGGTAAAGAGCAGATTATTGCTCCTGACATTTCTACTCAGTTCTGCAACAGTAGTCCCCATATAGTCCCTGCGTCCTTCTTGGATCTTGCATCTCCGTACTACACCCAGCATTGTTTTACTAGAGGTCTAAAGTTCAGCATGTCTGCCCCCAAAGCATGCTGCAGAAATTTTTACTCCTCCTGGTGCTCCTCTCTCTTTTCTCTTGCCTGTGCAACTTCCCTAGACACATTCTATGGGACATCTTACACTGGAAGAAGTTAGGGATCCCAGTAGGTCACCTTGTACTCCTAGCTGATTCCATGGCCCATGGGGAATGTAAGTCAGGAGCTCCTCCTGGGAGCAGCCTGTGTGGACAGCAAGCCTTACAGGATGCCCTGACCATTGCATGGCATCCAGGGACCCAGCCATGTACACATACACATACACAGCTGTGCCGAGCTGTGGCTCCTCTTCTGGCACCTTCCAGACGTTCTGTTTGTTGGGGGGTTTTTTTAATATCTTCCCCATCTGTGGTCCCACTGAGTCATGGGATTTCCTGATCAACTTCCCCCACCATCCCCAGCAGGAGAAAGAGGAAGCCTAGTGAAAAGTCCTGGTGACCACGATGTCTATATCCATTCCCTT